GGGAGCCATGTGCTCTGCTCTGTCTGGGCCGCGGGGGAGGTTTCGCGCTTTGTGTGAACTGCTGGGAATGTGAGCCCCGGTGCGCGACCCGGGGGAGTGTCGGCCGAGCTGGGGGAGTTGTCAGAAAGTTCCTGCGGGAGTGGCTGCAGGTGGCGTCGTGGGAGCATGAAGGAGGGTGCACTGGGTGTTATGTCGGAGGGGCTCTGAGCTGACCGCTGATGTGATGACGTCCAGAGCTTTTCCCCTTTTGGGACATCGTGGGTGGGCGGGTCGGTTGGAGTTCGTGGGTGGGCGGATGCAGGAGTTGGGCTAGTTGAGTGGGTCACAGTCTTTGGTGCTAGGCTTGGGGTTTGTAAGCTGTGTGCGTGCAATGTGTGTCTGAAAATCATGGGGCTTGTAGGAGTTCAGCAGTGGGCTGTGCCGGTTACCTGATCGCTATCGGAGTTGTCTGTGGGGTGGGCAAGATGTGTAACTGTGAGATAAAGTATGTGGGAAATCTGCAGGACTGTAGGCCGGCCTGGGAAGCAGGACACTGAAATGGATAGGTTTGTGCAGACTAAGGGGTCATCCCCGGGGCCTACCTCTGGAACCCTGCAGATTGGGTTCTGGCTGGCAGCCAGGGTGGAATTTGTACAGATAACCTTGAGTAAACTTCTCACTGCTTGCCAGGGCTGCATCCCTGAGCCCAGATCCCAGCTGCCCTGGCAGCTAGAAATGTCTGACCTCAGAAAGCAGACAGCAGTGGTGCTTTCTGAGGAGTGGCACGTCTAAGCAGTGCCTGTCTCACCTCCAGGTGGCCTGGCTGAGGGTAGACCCTTCCCTCGAAAGCCTGGCTTCGCTGGCCCAGAGATCTGGGCTCAGACCCAAGTCGAGGAAACAAAACCTGGGAGATGCCAGAGTCTGTTGGCCCAGCCTGCTGGGGAGCTGTTAAAAGGCTGAGAAGGGAGGAGCCTTGAGATTCTGGCATCAGGCTTGGCCTAGAACTTTTGCTTTTAAAATGCAAATTTCTTTTGCTTGTGTGAACAAGAACTTTAGGGGGGGAATGAGCAGCTGAATTGGGTTATCTAGGGGGAAAAAAAATCTTCCTCTGTTTGACAGGTGAAGGAGAGGGAACTTCAAGCCAAGAGAGGAAAGGATACTTACCCAGGGTCACACAGCCAAATGGGGGTAGGGCAGGGACCAGATAGAGCCTTGCCTGGGACCAGGCTGAGGCCTAAACAAGGAGAGTATCTAAGAAACAACCAGTAGGGATGATTCACTACTCTTGGCACGGTACACAGTAGATGCTTAATAAATATTACATGGTTTGTTGCAGGACCATGTGATTATAGTTTCCAGACACCTCACTGGCCTTGGGAGACCTGGGAGGCAAGATAATGCAGAGATCACAAAGGGTTGGGAGAAGCAGGTTACCTGAGCCCAAATCCTACTTGAATAACTGCTGCAGATGGGATTTTTTAAAGTAACTTTTTATTGGGATATAACTTGCATACTACACAATTTACTAATTTAAAGTATATAAATCAGTGGTTTTTAGTATTTTTACAACCATGTGTAGTGATCACTACCAGTCAATTTTAGGATATTTTTATCCTCTCAGAAAGAAACTCCATTCACTGTAGCTACCACTCTTTTATCCTCCCCAGCCCTAACTGCCCAATCTCCCTTCTGTCACTATAGAGCCTCCTATCCTGGACATTCCATTGTAAATGGAAACATACCATATGTGGTCTTGTGTGGCTAGCCTCTTTGAGGATTTACTTAGCATGTTTTCAAGGTCCGTCCATGTTATAGAAAATATGAGAACTTCTTTTTTGGGCAGATAATATTCATTGTATAAGTAAATCACAAATCATTCATCTGTTGATAGCCACTTGGTTGTTTCCACCTTTTGGCTACTGTGAATAAGGTTGCTGTGAACATTAGTGTATGAGGTTTTGTGTGGACCCGGGTTGCATTCTTATTATTTTCTTTGTTTCCTCATCTATAAAACAATATGAATAGTTTCTCCCTCAGAGGGGTTTGTGAGAATTAAATGAAGTAATATAAAATGCTGGATACAATAGATTTCAATCATGGCCGTAATGATTTCTAGTCTTCCTACTTGAGTTGCCATTCATTTTAGTTTATTTGATACCAGGGATGAACCCAGAGGGGTTTAACCTCTGAGCTTCATCTCCAGCCCTTATTATTTTTAATTTTGAGACAGGTTCTTACCAAGTTGCCCAGGCTGGCCGAAACTTGCACTCCTCCCGCCTCAGCTTCCTGAGTAGTTGGGATTACAGGTGTGCACCACCATGCCCAGATGCCGCTCATTTAGTAGTCACCTATCTGGCTCCACGAAATGGTGGCATTTTGGACTCATCCTTCTAGTTTCTCCAGCTAGGGTGTAGCCAGAGACTTTGGAGACTCCTCAGTTTCTGGAATCTCAGGCTGTAGTAGTAGTGAGCAAATTAAGAAACAGGGTACGTGGCGGTAAGTGCACAGTAATGATGTCCCCTATGCCACTTGTCCCAGGCTCACCTAAGATCCAGCCTAGCTCCTAGGCACCATGTCGGACAGTGATCTGGGTGAAGATGAAGGCCTCCTCTCCCTGGCGGGCAAGAGGAAGCGCAGGGGGAACCTACCCAAGGAGTCCGTGAAGATCCTCCGGGACTGGCTGTATTTGCACCGCTACAACGCCTACCCCTCAGAGCAGGAGAAGCTGAGCCTTTCTGGACAGACCAACCTCTCAGTGCTGCAGGTAAGTTTTAGACCTGAGTCAGCCCTGTCACTGATTTACAGTGTGGCTTTGTACCTCAGTTTCTTGTGTCAGGTGAGAACACCCACTCTCCCTGCTTAAAGGGAAGACAGTGAAGTAAGGTCATTGCTGCTAGATTTCAGACTCTGAAAAGTTCTGAAGAGGCAAGCAATTGTTGTTGGTGTCCAGGTGTCATCATTAATAACACTGTTGGGTTGGGGTCTTGGTTGTGGGGCAGCTGGGGTTCTCTGCAATGTAGTTAAGAAATGAGTTGGAAGAAGTCAGAGGTTCCGGATCCAAAACCCAATTCTACCATAGGACTGTGCGCTTTGTCTTGCTTTATCCATCTGTAAAGTGAGGGAGGGATAGATTCCTCTACCTGATGGAACTGTTATGAGGAATGTATTCAGAACGGGATGTGAAAGTGCTCTGAAAACTGTACAGGGAGGTAGGCATGGTGGCACACGCCTATAATCCCAGTGGCTGGGAGGCAGAGGCAGGAGGATTGCGAGTTCAAAGCCAGCCTCAGCGATTTAGGGAGACCCTAAGCAATTCAGGGAGACCTTGTCTCTAAATAAATATTAAGATGGGCTGGGGATGTGGCTCAGTGATTAAGTGTCCCTGGGCTTAATCATCTCCATAAAACAAAACAAAAACTGCACAGGCACACACTCAAAAGATAGTTGTTAGGAGGCTGGGATGTAGTTCAGTGGAGCACTTGGCCTGGTTTCCATTCTTAGCACTGGAAAAAAAAATTTTTTTTGGAGTGCAAAGTAACATCTCCTTTAAATTGTTCTGTTGCTGTCGTCTAGGTGTCTTTGCTATTTTCTTTTTGGTTGTTAGTGCCCAGGTGTCATCATTAACTGCAAGACAAATGCAAGGGTGCTTCACCACTGAGCTACATCCCAGCCCTTTTGATTTTTGAGACTGGGTCTTGCCAAGTTGCTCAGGTCCTCACTAAGTTGCTGAGGCTTTAGAACTGCCTGGCCTCCCAAGTTGCTGGGATTACAGGTGTGAGCCACTGCACCCAGCTTTTACTGTTTTCAAGTGCTAAGGCAGGATACCCTAGACCACCATTGTCTGTGTCCAATTTGACTTTCACCTCCCTGGGGGACTTATAGTAGGCCCTAAGCCTGGCAGGTCACCCCCACCCTGCTGGCCCCCACCTCTTCCTTCAGGAACGGGCTGGGCCCCTCCCCCAGTTCCCCTGGGCCCTTTCACTCCATTCTGATCCTCCTGCTTTCTCCCTGGCTTCCTAGCTCTTATCTCCACCAAGAGGAGTCTCGGTAAGAATCAGCTCATGGGCAGTGGTTAATCCTAGTCTGTCTTCAAAAAGGGATCTAGAGTTACAGATCCTGACTCAGATTCCATCCTCTCCACATGAGGAAGCCTGGACCCTGGCCAAGTCACTGCCATCTCTCTGAGCCTCATTATTTTCTGATCTGGACAAAGGGAGGTGGTTGTAATATTTTTCTAGGGTATAGAGAGGA